AAAAATCAAAATGAACAAGTGCAAGGTCCAAAAAATGAACGTCATGTAATAAAACCTGAAATAAATAAATATTTAGATGACAAAGATGATAAAGGATTTAAAATTGAATCGAATTCTGAAGAACGATGAAAACATTAATTACCTATATATTCGATAAACCAGTTGACGATATCTTAACTATTTAGAGTAAGATATATTTATTTCTGTTAAAAACATTTAAGAAGTTCAAAAAAAATCCGATAAGTGGTCATGGTAATTAAGCATATGTATTAGATTTAGCCGAGAAGTACAGATGTATTACCAATATCAGATAATAGAAATATATCAACTATAAATATACTATCGAACGATTCAGAAATATCAAAGTTACGAATTACATATACGTGCCGAGTCACAAGTAATATATGGTGAAGAATTATCAACTAGTTAATTATAAAGTGGATATTATCACAAATTAGTGATAAAACTCTTCAAATGCTGCCATTCAAAGTAGATTTGGTCCTTCATAGCGTTTATAATTCAGATCTCCAATTTATCTGTTTTTGACTAACTTTTAATTTTATGTTTATTATAATAATGTAATGTGTATTTTAATTTTTTCGCAAATGCAGTGTAAAAAGTGCCTTTTATTGTAATGCAGAGCCCTGATGAGTGTTTCATTATATCAATAAAATAAACATGAAACGCGTCGGCGAAAATAAACTCTGCATTTTCTTTTTATTATTTCATAAAGCACGAATATTCAATTTGACAAATTAATTACGACTTCTTCGGTTGCTGAAAAGCAAGAGTTGAGACTAGCAGATTGATTTGTATCTGAGAGATATAGATTGATCTGTTTCTATTTGATTTACACACCCACACCCACACCCACACCCACACCCACACCCACACCCACTCCCACACACCCACACCCACACCCTTTAATATTTATATTTCGACAGAAAATCCATTACTGAAACGCAAAAGTTGAGACTAGCATATTGATTTATATTGTTCAAAAATATAAGCCGATCTGTTACTCATCTATTATAATTCCATATTGTTATTTGGATTAGTACGCAGCAGTTCAAAAACTTCTTCAAAAATTTGGGGGGGTATTGAATTTATATACTTATACATTATAAACATGCCTGATGAAGTCCCTTAAGCAAGGACGAAACGTCGTGTGATGCTTTCAATCTCGAAAAATTTCTTAATAATAAAT